TATGGTAAAGCTTGAGGGGGAGTATTGACATTAAGAATTGAAAGTCTAGAATGAACAGTACCCACAGAGCTATAGTAAAAAAAACATATAGATATTTTATTTTAGCTTCCTTTGTAAGCCAAGTGTGTTTTGTTTCTAGAGCAGCTCTGCCCTATTCTACTACTTACTCTATTTAACCTATTGTAATGATATTATTTTGACCTAAGGAAAAAGTATCTCCTTCTTTACTCATTTCTCTCATCTCTCTCGCTTGTTCCTTTCTTAGTTCTTCATTTTCTTACAGGATTAAGTCAAATACTACCTCTCTAGCTTCTCTATTTTTACTTTGTATGAGAAACAATTTCCACAAGGTTGTGGTTCTTCTTCAGTAGGTCAAATTCCAGAATTCAATGCAAGCACAACATGTGGGAAGATGCAGTAATCCTCTCTGTAATCCCCCAGTCCAGTCCCGCCGCAGTCCCCTAGTTTCGTCCTCACTGTGTCCCCCTGTTGTCCTCGCCGCAGTCCCCCTTGCCGTCCTCACCGTCTTCCAGTGTCGTCCTCTACCAGCCTTCGAGAAAGACTAAGTGTGAAGCTCAAGGTTTTTTAATTGTAGACTTTAGGTAAATAATAATAAAGTAAAACTACAATAATAGCCTTCCAACTGTGATTTCAAAATTTTAACGGGTAACAAGTCATTGGGACCGAACATGGAAGGCGGAATAGAAAGCTGGGATTTATTTCAAATTACTTAAACGAGGGACCATTTTGGGAAGACCGGTTAAAAGTGCGATTATTAAGTATAGTATATAGTTTATAGTTTATACATTTATTTGTCAAAATTATAAATTAATATAATACACACACAATATACGAAACATATTTATATTATAAATTATATATTAAGTATATTATCCTATTAGTTATATTATCATATTAGCCACATTCTAATTTTTTATAAATTATTCTCATTTTACATTATTCTCTTTTTTAGTTACATTGTAATATTAGTGACATCTTAATTTCATATACTATACTCACATTTAAATTAAAATTTTACTATACTTGGTACAATATCATATTAGCCATATTTGTTCGATATTAATATTTTTTACATTTTAAAACTAGTTAATTAAAAATATTAGCCACATTTAATAGTACTCACATTTTCTAGAAACTATAAATAAATATCCCTATTTCTAAACATTTTCCGACACTTGTTCTCCAATTCTCCCTACTCTCTAATCATTTTCACACTCATACTCTCTAATCATCTTCATACTCTCTCATTCTCTCTACACAATTATATATTCTTATATTTACTTATACTAAAAATTTATTACATCTACTTATATTAGTTATATACTTATATCTATTTATATTTAAATATATTTTATCTACTTATATATTTATTATCTACTTATATTTACATATATAATATTAACTTACATATTTATTATTATTTTTTAAACCGAACGATTTTATTCATAAAAATATAAAGTATAGTGCAAGAAAATAAATAAAGCAAAAAAATACATAGAATAAAAGAGAATATAAAACACTAAAGCTAGACCCAAGGAAAATCTCTGGACTGTGATCTAGTCCTCATGTTGTGTCGCCTTTTGTTTTGCCGAGATTTCCTGTAAAGTTTAAGTTGTGTGTTTAGGTTGTCTGTTGGCAAACAGTTCTCAAGGGTGACGAACTTTGCTTTGCGACAAATCGATCTGTTGAAATTGGAGTTGCCAATTTCTTCTTGGTGTGATAAAGGAGGGCGCCGGTCACTTTCGGTCGCATGTCCTAGGAAATCGTCTGAGAAGAAGGAATCATCAAAATAGTCAAAGTTGTCTGAGGCATCAGAATAAGCCTGAAGAAGCGGAAGTTGTGGTTGTTTCTCAAGCGGGAGGGAATATTGTTTCTCATCATAGACTTTCTGAACTTCATAGTTAAATATGAGTTTGGATATTGATTATCCTCAGTATCATTCGTAGTGTCATGCTCACAGTGCATGCGTTCCTCTTGCTCTAAATAAGATAATCCAACAAAATTAGAAAATAATGTTAGAAAATCAATGAGATATGAATTTTGTGGACCCTTGGGGACAAGAATTGAGCTCCCCTTTTCTTTAGCAATCTTCACACAACAACTTACATATTAAGTATATATATTAAAGTATTAAATATAAGTTACTACTCATCTTATAGTAGTATACTTATATATTATATACTATCAACATTATATTAGATATTAGTTACTTTAATTATGGTTACTTTAATTTATTAAGTATAGTATATATTTATACATTTTTTTTCAAAATTATAAATTAATATAACATATACACACAATGTACGAAATATATTTATCTTATAAATTATATATATTAAGTGTATTATCGTATTAGTTATATTATCATATTAGCCAGATTCTCAATTTTATACATTTCTCTCATTTTACATTATTCTCATTTTGTAGTTACATTGTAATATTAGTGACATTTTTATTGCATTTACTACACTCACATTTTAATTACATTTTTTATCATACTTGTTACAATATCATATTAGCCATATTTGTTAGATTTTTATAATTTTTACATTTTAAAACTAGTTAATTAAAAATATTTACCACATTTAATAATACTCACATGATCATATATAATTATGTCACATTTGAATATTAGTTTCAGTTAAATATTAGCCACAATTAAAAATTTGTTACATTCTCATTTTACATTATTCTCATTTTAGTAGATCATTTTGATAAGATCAAGAACCCGGCCGACAACTTTTTCCATAAAGTGATTATATTTTTGGAAATGGAAACTTAAAGAGTAATATTAGTGCCATTTTTTTAATTATTTATATAAGAAATATACATATCTCTACACGTATACAACCTACGTTCCAAAATACTTAGCCAAATTCAAACTTTAACCAATTAAATATATTTATTGAAAATTATTCATAATACAAAAATGCTATGAAAATGTTCTTGTTAAAAATACTGTCTTAAAATTTAGAAATTTATAACTTTCATAATATTATACTAATCAAAACCATGATTCAAATTTTAGGATTTTGCTAAACATTTTGGGAGGAGGTAGTGATTACGTACTAATTAATATGTAGTACTCCCTCCGTATTTTTTTTGTTTGCTACACTTTTTTTTTTGAGAAATTACCCTAAATAGGAATAAAAACATTTAAAATTTCCGAAATAGGACTGATATGTTTTTATTTCAAAAATAGGACTAATTACTATCATGTTTGGGCAGTACCAGGCTTTAAAGATGACAGTATTTTCCAAACTTGGCAGTAATTACTCTTATTTTGGGAATAAAAATATGACAATCCTATTTTGAAATTTTCAAACGTTTTTAGTCCTATTTCGGGATTTTTCTCTTTCTTTTTTGGATGTACTCAAAAATTTGCTACACTTTTGCTACACTTAAAAATGTACTCAAAAAGCCAGAGTTCACTGGTTGAAAGACGGTGACACCAACTCCAAATTCTTTCACAATTATGTCAAATCTAAACATGCCAAACTCTCCATTCATAAGATTAAAGACTCTGAGGGTCAATGGATAGAAGATCAATCCCTTATTGGCCAAGCTGCTGTGGACTTCTTTAGGCCTCTTTTTACTCAGGAAAAGGCACCCCAGACAACTGACCTTAACACCATTCTTCACCATCTTCCCACTAGTATTACTGAGGAGGACAACCAGTCCCTTCTTGGTCCTATCACCCTCACTGATCTTAAAACTGCTGTGTTTGACCTTAATAAAAATAGCACCTCTGGTCCCGATGGGTTTAATGGTTGTTTCTACCATGATTGCTTTGATATTATCAAACATGACCTCTTAAATGCCACCAGAGAGTTCCTTTGCGGAGTTCCCATTCCCAAAAGTATAGGTCACACTTTCATTACCCTTATCCCTAAGGATTTTAAACCTGACACTTTCCAAAAATTTAGACCGATTAGTCTAAGTAATTTTATTAATAAAATCTTTACCAAAATTCTTACTATCAGGCTCACCCCTCTTCTAGGCAAAATTATTTCCCCTAACCAGAGTGCCTTTCAAAAAGGGAAAGAAATATCCGACAACATACTGGCTATGAAAGAACTCACCCAATGTCTTTCTAAAAAAGTTCCGGGTCACAATGTGTATTTCAAAATAGACATGACTAAAGCTTTTGACCGCATTTCTTGGAGCTTTCTAAAGATTGTTTTGGAAAAAATTGGTTTTCACCCTATTTTCATTAATCTTATCCTCAACAACTTAAAAGGGACTTGGTTTTCTATTCTTATAAATGGAGTCCCTCACGGTTTCTTCAATCCCACCCGCGGGGTCAAACAAGGTGATCCGCTTTCTCCCATGCTCTTTATAATTGTTTCTGAAGTCCTCACCAGGAATCTCAACCATCTTTACACTCACGGTGGAGGTAAACCTTATTACTCGCACATTGGTCTTCCTGTTATCTCTCATTTAGCTTATGCTGATGACTTGATAATTTTCTCTAATGGCAGTAAACATACTTTGCAAAAACTTTTTAAGCTTCTCAACCATTATGAACTGTTGTCTGGTCAGAAAATTAATTCTGATAAAAGCTCTTTCTTTACGGGTCCCAAGACCCCTGCTAGGACTATTAATATGATTAAACATGTCTCTAAAATGAATAAAGGAAATTTCCCTTTCATGTATCTGGGGGTTAACATCTATCTAGGAAGAGCTAAAAAAATCTACTTCTCACATCATGTGATTAGGATTGATCAACGCCTTAATAGCTGGAAGAACAAAGTTCTCTCCCAAGCCGGCAAAATAATATTGATCAAACATGTTCTGGCCACCTTCCCCCTCTATACTATGGCCTCCTCAAAGGTCCCCAAAGGGGTCCTTAAAGACATTGAAAAACGCTGCATTAAATTCCTTTGGCAAAATGATCTTAACTCCTCAAGCACTTTTAGTTGGAGGTCTTGGGCTAACTGCTCATACCCCTTTAATGAGAACGGTTTGGGTTTTCGCAGGTTGCAGGACATCCAGGACAGCTTCTATTTGAAACTCTGGTGGAAAAAAGACCATGGAAACAGCATTTGGGCTATTATTTTCAATTCCTTACGTTCTTATAATCTTTCTGTTTTCTGGCCTCCTATGGTCTCTGTGTATAATTTATATAGTGCCAACACTAGAATTCAGGTCAATAACGGATGCAGCCTCTTCTGGGATTCCAATTGGAGTCCTTTTGGGCCTCTCTACAGACTGTCCCATGAGCCCCATGATCCCATCACTATTAGAGAGGCCTATGAGAATATTCACAGTCATGTCGGTGACTTACCTCACCACGTTAGCACGGCCCTTATTAACAACAGTCCTTCCTTTGAAGAGACACCTGACACTACTCACTGGACCCGCGCCCCTAATGGTGATTTCTCCTTTAAGACGGCCTATGATGAGATAAGGAAGAAAAGGCCCAAGATCAAAAATCTTGATCTTTTGTGGAAGAACCCGATTCCAAAGAAGATTTCTTTCTTCCTTTGGCGGGTCACTAACAATCTTATTGTGTGTGCTGACTCGCTCCAGAAAATGGGGTTTTATGGGCCTTTTAAGTGTCCTCATTGCAACCACCATGACTCTATTAACCATTTCTTTTTGAGTTGCCCATCTCACACTCCAATCTGGAGTTACTTTAATATTAAGAGTCATCGGTTGGATGGCAACTTAATGGACAACATACTTAATTGGACCCATCATAAATCCTTTATAACCTATATTGTCATTCTTTGGAACCTTTGGAAGCTGAGAAACAGCACCCTTTATGATGATTCCTCCCCTAACTACTCTGAGGCCATTTACAACATTCGGCGGGAGATATTTTCCATCCAGGACACTAAAAGACCTAATAAGGCCCCTAAAAGTAGACCCCAAGTGGTGTCCTGGAATCCTCCAATGCATAACCATAGAACCCTTAACATTGGCCACACCAAAAATGGGCTCTCACATAGTTTCGGATTTTTGATAAGGAACCACAACGGTGCTATGATCTTTCACCACCAAAGCAACCTTTTTTCCTCCTCCACTGTGAGGGCTTTCATAGAGGCATACTACGACTTTCTCATTTTCTGCAGGGACAGGAGGATCTACTACTCCAACATCCAAATTGATAATGCCCAAGTCTTCCAAGCCATTAATCTTCATTGTGTGCAAAATTGGGATCAAATTTTCATCATCTCTTGCATTAGAAGGATTTTGCATCATAACCACATCACGATCAGTCTTGTTAACGAAAAGGTCAACTGCGCTGCGAAAGAAATTAGCATGGGAGTTGACGTACAATCCAAAAAATTCAGCAATATTCTCAAATTCGATGCTATTGCTTTTCCTTATATTATATAGATTTCTTTTCCGGGTAGGCTTTGGTCTAGTCCTCCTACCGTGTCTCTAGCTCCCTCTAAGCCTTAATAAATGGTAAGGTGTTCCCCAGCCCTTACCCCATCTTGTGATGGTTTGCCACTGGGTTAAAAAAAAAAAAAAAAAAAAAAAAAAAAAAAAAAAAAAAATACCCTTACTTTTTCTACTTTCCATCTTTTCTTTCATACTTTTCTATCATGTCTCCTACTTTTTCTACACTATTCATTACCTCTACTATTTCACTTTTAAAAAATGTGTCTAACACCTATGGTACCAAACAAAAAAATAGGGAGGGAGTATCTTTTTTCTGGTTTTAGTTTTAGTATGTGTAAATTTCTCGATTTTCTAGTATAGTACAATAAGGACCTAATATCGGACAGTATGTGATATAATCCTAATCCGGTAAAGCAAAAATGTCAAATTGGTGGTTGGCCGCCAGGCCAGCTGATCGATTGGAAACCATGAATAATGATGGGGCAATAGATATGTACAAAAGTAAATCCAAAACGTACAACAAGTTAATGCAAAGGAAGTGTGCACACGGACACGTTACGATACGTCGGGCAGGCAAGCCTCCGAACTCCAAAATTGTCTTCCCTCCTACATAGGTAATCTCGAACGATTTAGGGAAAATTCAAAAAATAGAAATAAAACATGCTCAATTCTTAAAAAAAGAAAAGAGTGTAGGATGGATTTCCGCCGCTAGGGTTTTCTTCTTCGCTATCAATTCTTTCGAGGAGCGACCGTCTTTCCTACACTAGTTAGGGTTTTTTGTTCCGACGATCGATCTTCGTTCGTGTGGCTGGGTGAGGCTTGGATATTTTGTGGAATGCAAATGTGATGGGGTGAGGCTTGGATATTTTGGAATTTCGGAACTTGAGTGGAATGCAAAGGCAATGGGGTGAGGCTTGGATATTTTGTGGGCAAAGAAACATAAGGCAACATGAGAGAGTTTTCTTCTGCACCATGGACATGAATTTCAATGACAAATCTTAAGGAGCAAATTGGCGAGCACAAGAAGGATAGAGTTTCAGATGATTTTTCCGGGTGTTGAAAATATCTTATATCATACTATAGCGGCTCGCCCTCCTCCAGAACCACCTTCGTGCAAGGAAGCAATTTGGGCGATGTTTTTTTTTTCTTTCGTAGTACTTATTTTTATTTCAGCTCGAGCAAATATGGTTGGAGTATTTTGATTTTTAAAGAACTTTTGATAGGCAGTACTGCATTTTCGATCATTTTAGGCTTCTTGTTGCCCGTTTTGTGTCTAGCGAGTCAGGTTAGTTTGTATGGATGACCGACTCTAAGTCTATTCATAGGGCTTACGACCGGATCTGTAATAGCTTTCTAAATTTTGTCTTGCATGTTTGCTCTATATAAATGAAAAACCGTTTTGATGATTAAAAAAAGTGTTCGAAATTCCTTAAATGGAATGTATTATTTGTGATTGAACAAAATATCCTAATAGGAGTTGCCAAGTTGGAGCTTGGTCACTGGACTGTTGTCGCTGGACGGCCGAACTCTGCCCCCGTTTGCCGAATTATTGCGGTCTTCATTGGATGCTTCCAGACTGTGGTGGTTATACTGGAGAATTAGGAGACAATTATTTATGTTAAGGTTAGAAATATAAGAAATAATTATATAAACATGACTAAAATAAAGATTGTTTACAAAAATACGATTAATTACTAGAATAGTAATGAAATCATATTAATTCATGTTCATGTTTTGAACTTAAGTTACCACAACACTACGTTGTAGTAATGAATAGTCATATTTATGTAAATAAGTTTTATTCTAGTAATATTCTTGTAAAAAACCCGAAATATAATGCTCCGTATGAAATTATATTTAAGTAATACTTCCTCTGTTTCGCTAAGATTACCTCATATTTCCTTTTTTGTTCATTCACTAATATTGTCTCATACCAGATTTGACAAAGTTTGAGTGATTCTAAATCATTCTTACTTTTTTTAAAACCCGGTAGGTAAACCACTTTATGGTGGGGTAAATGTTGGGGAACATTTACCGAATTGTATTATGATTTTTAGGTATACAGAAAGCATGTCTTCTCAAAACCCCACCGGAGAAGGCATGCCTTCTCGAAAATGTTCATTCTTACTTTATTCATACTTAATCAATTTTATATCAATCACATAAATTCACTTTTTATTAATAATTACATCACATCTTCATGTCTCAATGTTAGTGAGACGAAAATAGTATATCTACAGAGTTCTTTTTAGGAAATATGACTATATTTTAATCATACTGTGTAGAGAGTACAATTTTCTCGTGTAATTTAAGAACACAACTCTAATTTTTCTGCTCTATACGATTTACTTGATGCATTTCAAATATCTTATTATATTTCTTATTTTAGTAAACTTTTAATTTTTAATAATACTTGGGCAAATAGATGTTAAAAAAAGTTGGCTCTCCCTCTCTAGGATTCTGTTTTCTCCGCTTTCGTCCTTGACGAAGTGCGGCCGCGGTAGGAGCTTTCGTTCTTGACGAAGTGCAGACATTTTAGGGCTCCTCGGTCAGGCTAGAAGGTCAAGTTTTCCCGCTGGTAGTCTCGGTCGTGACCAATTGTAGGCGCAGCGCAGTTTGTTGAATTATTGGCGGCTTGGATTTTTGAAACACCACACAACATTATTGAGATTTCTTCTGCACCTTGAACACGGATTTCAATGACAAATTTCAAGGAGCAAATTGGCCACAACAAATTGGTGAGCGCAAGAAGGATATGGTTTCAGACGAATCTTCCAAGGGTCAAAATTATCTCCTCCCATACTACAGCAGCTCGTCCGCCTCAGGAACCACCTCCGTGCGAGGGAGCAATTTGGGGAAAGTTTCTATTTTCGTATTATTTTTCCTCTAATAGTACTTGTTTTTATTTCAGTTCGAGTAGGTATGGGTGGAGTTTTTTTTTATTTTTGATGAACTTTTGATAGACAGTGCTTCATTTTCGATCGTTTTAGGCTTATTCTTGCTCGTATTGTGTTTAGTGAATCATGTTGCTTCGTAAGGCTGACTCTAAGTCTATTCTGAGGGCTTACGATCGTATCTAAAAGGGATAAAGACATAGATGAGACTAAAACATACTCACTGAATACAAATAGGACTTCCACTTTATTAACTCGCGTATAGGACTTATTTTAACATAGTAGACAATAATACCCCTCCATCATTAACCAGCAGAAACGATGCTCTACTGGGATTACACCGTCGACTAGGCAGTAGGCATACCATCGACAGAGGAGATCCGCCAGAGAAATCCAATCGCTTGAAGTCTCTCGGCATCGATTGGCCGGCCTTCGGTCATGTTCGGTCGCCGTCGGCCGTCCTGAGTTGCGGAATTTGATCTTATCAATTAGTTCAAGCGGTCACATGTTGCTGCTGAGATCACTGTTGCCGGTGTAGTCATATTTTAGAGTCGCTGCCGGAATCCGCATCAGTCGCCACTGAGATTTTACAGAGAATTATGTCGATTCCTTTCCTTCTATTTTTGTTTCATACATGCTCTGTATTTACTATCTGGATACAAAAAAAATGACTTTACAGCTGGACTCCCAATGGATTCGATGGTGGAAATCCAATCCTTTATCCAAAGTCTATTCTTATGCTTCGTACTTCACAATTCTCATAGTGATTGTTTTTTTTTTTGAAAAGCATGTTCCAAGAGCACTATCATGTACCTAGTATTTCATTTGAACACTTGTAAATATATACGGAGTATATTTTAAAACAGATTATTCTTATTATTGTAGAGTAATAATTTATTGTAGGGCTGTAAAATAATGCTACAATGATCCAAAGTAATGTATTATAATTTGTAGAAAATTTTCACAATGTCAGAAAACGTTACAATGTCAAATAATGGTAAGACATTGTTAATGTGATAAAGAAATGACATTGTAGTGATTACAATGTCAATGTTATAAAAAAATAACACATTATAAAAAAATATTGAAACTGACAATGCTATAAAAAAATACATTAGTTTGTGGAAAAAACACATTGTAGAAAATGCATTATAATATCAGGAAAAACAA